CATGCCCTTGTAAAAAGTTCCTTTACAGATTTCTTGCAGTCCCCTTTAGGGACTGCTTGAGGTCTCCCCAGCGCCTTCTCTTCTCCAGGCTGAATAAGCCCAACTCTCTCAGTGTATCTCCACAGGAGAGGTGCTCCAGCCCTCAGAGCATTGTCATGGCTTCCTCTGGACTCTTGAGCAGGTCCACATCCTTCTTGTGCTGGGGGCTCCAGAGCTGAACGCAATATAGTGAAGTATATTCAGTGTACTGAGTACACACTTCCTTGTACTTCACTATACTGAAGTTGAGATAGAGAAAGTCATTGTAGTATTAAAATCATTAATTATATACACCTCTCCTTTAGAAAACGTGAAGCATCTTTTATTTAGGCATGTGCCTCTTGCTGCTCAGGCTTGGGCTGTAGTACATTTCCCCAGGTTTAACATGTGTCTTATGCCTACAATACACTTGGGGGGGGTTGTGTTAAAACTACTGGATTTTGAAAAATTCTGTTGTGTGTTGTCATTACTATCATATTTTGTTACTTGGTTTTTATTTCCTTCTAGTCCCAAGCTCTGTAGCCAAAGAATGTCTGGTTTTAACTATTCTGGTAGCGTGGGACATAAGTAAAACACTGAAGCATGTTTTGTCCCGGGTGAACAACAGTAACATGAAAGACAGGAATTGACAGAACTTAACTGTGTCAAGGACTTCTTAGGTCCTTGATTATGTTTTGAGGCATCAAGATGCTTTTATTTGTCACAGTCATCCTGGCAGAACCACTTAGTTATTACATTCCATGGGCCTGAACTGCTCATCACTCACAGTGTCACCCTCCGAGTGTGATTTACCAAAATAGTCACGTTCAGCATTTTAGGAGAAATACGTTGACTTGCACAACTTGCTGGATGCTGACTTGCTAGAGGTGATGCTGCTCATGGCTGCAAGTGAGGAATGTTCAGCCTGTTCAATTTCTCTCACAGTGATGGTGTTGGAGTTTGCGGCTACACCCGGAAGCCTGCAAGAATCTTTCTTAAAACGGAAGCAGAACTTCATCCAGAAATCCCTGAAAAGAGTAGAAGGAATAAAAGCTAAAGAGAGAGCAAATGAGAAACCAGAAGCCAGGCAGTCTCAAAGAGGAAAGTCTGAGAAGTTAAGCAGGCAAAAGGAGTCTTCTCCTATCTCTGGTAGGTCTATCTGGGGACAAACACATCTTGGGGTATCCTTTCAGGTGCTGTTTTTCATCAGAGAACAGCAAAATTTCACACTTGTTGCATCTTTACTATTGCAGACTGGGCTATTCTTTATCAGGGATGTGGGGAGCTTTTTCCTCACTGCCTGGCCACCTCCTCGGTGTCACAGAGGCCCTTACGGGTCTTCATCCTGTTTTCACCTTCTGCCCACGTTTGTAGTCATGTCCCTGCAAATCACAGTAGTTTATTAGTAGGTCAAGAGAGGTTCTCCTCCACCTCTACTCTGCCTTAGTGAGGCCGCATCTGGAATATTATGTTCAGTTCTGGGGCCCTCAGTTCAAGAAGGACAGGGAATTGCTTGAAAGAGTCCAGCGCAGAGCCACAAAGATGATTAAGGGAGTGGAACATCTCCCTTATGAGGAGAGGCTGAGGGAGCTGGGTCTCTTCAGCTTGGAGGAGACTGAGGGGTGACCTCATCAGTGTTTACAAATATGTAACGGGTGGGTGTCAGGATGATGGAGCTAGGTTTTTTTCAGTGATGTCCAGCGATAGGACATGGGGCAATGGGTGTAAACTGGAGCATAGGAGGTTCCACGTTAGCATCAGGAAGAACTTCTTTACTGTGAGAGTGACAGAGCACTGGAACAGGTTGCCCAGGGGGGTTGCGGAGTCTCCTATGTTGGAGATATTCAAGGTCCGCCTGGATAAGTTCCTGTGTGATGTACTCTAGGTTACCCTGCTCTTGCAGAGGGGTTGGACTAGATGATCTCTTGAGGTCCCTTCCAACCCTTGGGATTCTGTGATGGGCAACAAAGCTGGTGTAGGGCTGGAGCACAAGTCTGCTGAAGAATGGCTGACGGAGTTGGGAGGGTTTTGTCTGGAGAAAAGGAGGCTCAGGGGTGACCTTATCACTCTCTATAACTACCTGAAAGGAGAATGTAGCAAGGTTTGGGTGCCAGTCTCTTCACCCAGGTAACAAGTGATGGGACTAGAGGTAATGCCTCAAGTTGCACCAGGTGAGCTTTAGATTGGAGATCAGGAAAAATTTCTTCACAAAAGGGTTGTCAAGCGTAGGAACAGGCTGCCCCGGGAAGTGGTAGGGTCACCATCCCTGGAAATGTTCAAAATCCATGTATGTGAGGTCCTTAGTGACATGTGGTGGTGATCCTGGAAGTCCTGGGGTCCCAAGAGCTGGTCTTGTTCTTGAAGATCTTCTCCAACCTAGTTGATTCTGTGATGCTTCTGAAAATGGGGAGCTAGAAGGCAGCTGGTGGGAAGCACAGCTGGCTTGAAGTGCAGGCAGCAGCCTCATGAGGGAGACTGTGAGGCTTTCACACAAGACATCACCTCCATCAGGTCCATCCTGCTTTCTGCTGGCTTTTTTGTAATGTCCTTTAAAACCCTTGGAAAACCTCTGAGTTTTTGCATTAGCTGGACTAAATACGTAGATTTAAGATATGTCTTTGTTTGTTAGGAAAAAAAGGTGCAGTTGCCAGTCAGTTGAAGAAAGTAGAAGTGTCTTCTCCAGGGGACAGGAATTCTGGAGAAACCGGAATGCATCAGCGTACTTCAAGGTATGAACACAAGTGGAAGAAGTGTGGATTTAAACCCAGCAGTTCATCTGTGTTGTGAAGGTGACCACTCAGAGTAGTCTGTGATCTCCCAGTGCTGTGTTTTCCTGCTGGGAAACCCTCTCACAGTGCTGGCTATATAAGAAACCTGCATCCTCTGGCCTGCTGAGGCAGCTCATGTAGAACTAGATTAAAGCTGAAGCCAAGGTCACAACTGCATCTTGGCACGAAGGGCAACACGCAGCAACTGCATCCCTGAACTTGGGGGTTAGGAGTAGCCAAAAACGAATTTGATGTGACTGGATTATGGGAGAATGAAGTCAGAATTTCCTTTCTTAATTTCTAGCAACTGAGACAATATAAACCTTTAAAAATGTTAACTTACTGCAGCTTTGCCACTTGCTTCTGACAAAACAATTTTTTGCGTACTGTTTGTGCAGACTTTATAATCAACTTGCAGAAGTAAAAATGAGAAAGGAAGAAAAAACAAGGCAAGAAACTTATGCTAAGAACAGAGAAAAGGCTAAAGAGTTTCAAAAGGTAATACAGTTTGTACAACATTGTCCCACCTGGTCAGTTCTCATTTCACCAGGCTTCTACTCAAGAGTAATCTGACATAGGTGTGGTGTGAGTACAGCTGAAACAGTGACCATCAAACCAGTCTGGCTTTTAAGGGATATCCCAGTTCGGAATTTCCCTGTCAGCACTGTGACCAGCCTCAGGTCGGTTTTCTGGGGACTTGAGGTGGAGCAAAAAAAAGGCTGTTAGGGCCTTCAGCAGCTAGAAGGGCCACATGGCAGAAGAACAGGTTATTAGTCTAAATGTGACTGAATGTCCATTATAAGGCAGTTTTGGGAGGGTGGGGGCTGGCTGCTTTGGCTATTCCAGGTAGCCGGAGGTCGTGCCTAGCTGAGCACACCTGAGCTGAAGGCGGCAGGACGCCCTCTGGGTTTGCCTGTAGCTGCTCCTGAGGCTCCTAGACCCACATCCTGCATCTAGCACTGACCACCTCCACCTCCACCTCTCTGTGGGGAAACATATCATGTAGGTTCCCCAACATGTAGGAGTTTTGGAGCAGTAGCTGGACTCACTGCTCTGCCATTACTGATGTCCATGTTACATGTTTTAGTCCTGTCACTACACTACAGTAGTATGACGGTTTGTTTTTATTTGCAGAAGATGCTGGAAAAACTACGAGCCAAGAAGACTGGGAAAGCATCATGACTGGCTGAACACTTAACATGACTGTCCTGGTACAGTCTAGGAGCCAGTGCAGTACTGCACTTATATTAAGTTCATTGTGGAGCCATGAGGAATCCTCAGCTTTAAGCTGTAGGAAGACTGTGAGTAAACAAACTCTCACGTTTCCCAAGATGCTTACAGCAGCAGACTGACTAGTGCTGTAACAGTGGTTTGTCTCAGACTGAGCAGTCTGAAAAGCCTTTCTGGATGGGCATCTGTATTTTAAAGACAGATCATACTAACTCTTGTAATACACATGTATAAAACATTTCCTAATAAAACTTTTTAAGATGACGTGACACCTCAGGATGAAAGACATTTCCTCTGTGAAGTTTAACATTTATCTGTTCTCTGCACTATGTGATTTGAGGACATGTAAGCTCATGCAGTCAAGAGGTGTATCTTAAAGCACATGGTGGGAAAGAAGTAAACCCTTTACCCTGTTACTACTTCCAAATTCCATCTTTCTATCCACCTTTCCCAAGCTCCTGATTCAAAGCCAAGGAATTACATCATGAGGACAGATGCAAAGCTCAACTGCTGCTATGTGGAGAACAGGACCACTTCACTGCATATTTAAAATACGGAACAGTTTGAGCTTATTTTTGATGAGCCACCAACTACACTTCAGGCTTGTTTTCACTGAGCTTTTCAGTCCCTGGTACAGTTGCTTGTACTGCAGTTGCTGAAGCAATTGAAGAGCAAAAGCCAAAACCAGCTTGTCACTCCGTGGTGAGGAGATGTGGAGGCTTCTTGCAACACAACAATCAGCAGTACAATAGTCTCATTTTGGCTGTAGTGGCTCTGCAAGGGCTCCTTGGGCTTTCATGCAAAAATCCTCTTGCTCCATCCTCAGGGGAAGAGGTTGAGCCTACACTTTGCCATAGGAGCAGCTGCGGTGATTTATTCACTCACACCCATGTGCTTACACCAGAACAATAGGAACTAATCCCAGGCTGCAGCTCTCTGACATTGATTTTATTTAAAAACATTCTGATATTCCACACATTCTGAGATTCAGGACAGGGAACTGAGAGAAAACAGCTGATAAAGCCTTTTCCACTCAGATTAAAACTTGATCTATACTCTTAGTTGGGTCTTCTGCAACAGCAAGCTGGCAGCTTCACATCTCCCACAAGGGCACTGCAGGCAAGTTGTGACAGAGGGTAAGGACAAAGGCTCCTGTGCTTCTGAGCCAGTTTCCAAACACTGCAAACTACTTCAGTGTCCAAAGCAGTGAGGGGAGTTAGGCTCCGTGGTTAATAATAAATTACTGCAAGAAACACTCTGGATCAGGTTCTTTGTTTTTAGAAGAACCATGCAGTTCTCTGCAGCAGACTTGCAGCAACATCACCAGGACCTGAGAGAGGAAAAGCATCTGTTAGCACTTTTAGCTCATTGAGTCCAAGCTTTAACCCAGCACTGCCAAATCCACCACTAAACCATGCCTCTATACACCACATCTACGCATCTTTTGAATACCTCACCAGGAATGGTGGCTCTAGAACTGCCCTGGGCAGCCTGTTCCAACACTTGACAACCTTTTTGGGGAAGGAATTTTTTCTAGTATCTATATCCAGTCTAAACCTCCCCTGGCACAACTTGAGGCTATTTCCTTTCCTTCTATCCCTTGGTACTTGGGAGAAAAGACCAGCACCCATCTCTCCATCCTTTCAGGTAGTTGTAGAGAGCAATAAAATCTCCCCTGAGCTTCCTTTTCTCCAGGCTGAACAACCCCAGTTCCCTCAGCTGCTCCCCCCACTAGGACTGTGCTCCAGACCCTTCACCAGCTTCACTGTCCTTCCATGGACACATAAGCAGCAATCACAGAATCACAGAATCCCAAGGGTTGGAAGGGACCTCAAGAGATCATCTGGTCCAACCCCCCTGCAAGAGCAGGGTAACCTAGAGTACATCACACAGGAACTTGTCCAGGCGGGCCTTGAATATCTCCAATGTGGGAAACTCCACAACCCCCCTGGGCAACCTGTTCCAGCAATGAAGTTAAAAGACTGCTCGTGCCACAACTTGATCAACGTGTTCTTCAGTTTTCCATGCTATGGAAGTCAACTGGTTTCAGCATTAAACTGATCAGCCTCTTCCTACATCAACATCTCAAAAACCCCAAGGGCAGTGGATAAACAACCTTTTTTACTCCAAAAGGCCCAACTACATCAGGTTTATCTCCTCATAAATAGACCATAGCACACACCATGTGTCCACGGCATCCTGCAGAGGATTTCAATGTGCGGTCACCGCGTTAAGAGCTGCTGGTTTCTCAGCCATGCAAACCCTCTTTGAAGTGACCTTGAGTTTCTCTGTAGCACCAGCCATTCTGCTAAGCACTCACCTTCAGACTCACTTTGATGGCAACTTGGGGTTCCTCAGGCCTCCCCTATGCAGACGCTATGGGTTAAGGAGAGAGATTTGGTTAGTTAAGAGTTCACACGCTGGATGTAAATTGCATGGAGAAGCCTTTTTCTCCTGTGTGCACAACCATCCTCTCAACAGCAGCTTCTGCAGCCCAACTTACAACCTTTCTAACTAGAGCTTTTGCTCCTCTGTAGCTTCAGTTGGAGGTGCCCAAGGATACAGCCACATACCTGTGCCTCAGCAAGAACTTGTTTTTAGCAGCAGAGGGGAGCAGCATGTCTGTGACTTACAGAAAAGCTTTATTCCCAGCAGACTTAGTGCCACATGATGTGGCAGTTCAGGAGTCTGATGGCTTTGCTTTACGGTCATGTCCACAGCTCACCAGAAACAGCAACATCCCAGCAGCTTTGGTAATGACCAGATCCTCTCCTCACTGCTGTAAGGTTGGTGATAACTCAAAATCTGGGGCTTACATCAATACTCCAGTTGCCCATCCCTTAGGGCAAATCAGTCCTGCCAATATATAAGCCAAGTTGTGTACCAACAAGCCTCAAAATCACAGGATGGTTTGGGCTGGAAGGGACATTAAACCTAATTTAGTTCCAACCCCCTGCCACAGGCAGGGAACCTTCCACTATACCAGGTTACTCCAAGCCCCATCCAACCTGTTAAAAACTCCCCATCCAGAGGAACTCCTCACAAGCAACAGCAGTCTAATTCAGAAACCAGTACAAACTGCTGCACAACTGCAACATCCATTTAAAGTATACAGGTACAGTCAATGACTTGCAGATAAGCAGGCTGCTCAATACTGCCAAAATCTGGGCTGACAACTGCCCAGTTCTCTCTACTACAAGACAACCACTTCCATACTTCTCAAGAACAGTTTACTGAGGTTCCCATGTTCCAGACTCACACAATTAACACACAATCGTGAAGTAGCATGAAAGCATTTGAATTGACCGGTATCTTGGTGCTTACCTGTCACACAGGTAATCTTCTGCAGCTTATCCCTTCAACACAGCAACACCCACTTTACGCTGTATCCTAAAGCACCTGTTAGAAAAGACAGAATGCACTTGAATTGTTCCAGAGAACAGGTATCCAGTTCTCATACTGAACATGCAACTAGAAAGTACACTCAAATCCCAGAGCAGGACAAAAACTATCAGAAATAATACCAGGTTTAACAAACACAGCAGAATGAAAACCAACGATGCCAACACTGACCTCCTGTAGCACCGATCTTTGAACATCCCAGCAGAGAATGCTGCTGGGTGCAGATACCACTCAGTGCAACACCCCCAGTGCTTTGTCATCCACAACTGCTCGTTTAACAGTAAAGCTTGTATGCAACAGTTAGTGTCTCCTGACAGACTAAACTGATACAGTTGCCATGCAACCCTGAGGGAAAACACACTGTGGATTTCACCTAATGGGAACAGCAACTTCAGAATTCTTCCACATTTTTGGCATGGAATGTATTAGAATCCTTCCTACTGTGAAGGATTTATACTTCTTTCAAAGTACTTGGCTTGGTTTCTTTTAAACACCACACTCTACAGACCAGAAGCCAGAAATTTTAACTGCATATAGTAAACTGGCTGAGCTGCTCAGAAATTAAACTCTTTAAACCCCGAACTTAAAAATTCAACCCAAGTATTGCTGCTCAGTATGAAACTACCATGCATCTCTTGATATCTTAGTGATATCTCAGAGATATGGTGTAGTGATGGTGTTGGTAGTCCTGGGGTAATGGTTGGACTTGATCTTAAAGGTCTTTCCCAACCAAGCTGAATCTGTGATTCTAAATGCAGGAGAACACACCATGTTCATGAAGTTGCCTGAAGCTCAGACAGATGCCACAGTGCTGCCTCTTTATCTGCAGTCATCGAAACAATTCTCATGCTTTCATAATGTAAGGAGGAATAAGCCATCCAGAAAACTCAAACCACAAGTGTTAGCAATCAGGTACCTGCACAGAAATCCCACTGCAATTCATGTTAGTTACACCTCAACTCCAAAAACACACCATCTCTTGACTCTTACCAAGCTTTTCCACTTGACTCATCTTTGCTATTTGTATCAAAACACAAGTCAGTACCTAAAGGAGAACATGATGTGTTACTACAGCTCCCTGGATGCTACATTAACATCTGTCTTGCAGTTTTATCCCACAGAACTAACAGGTAGTTCAATGGGTAAAGCGAAACCACAAGTTTATTCTGTGAGGCATTTCCAACGACACGAACCTACAGAAGAGATCCCATCGGGATAGACCTCAGCACTTCTGGTACTCTAAACTAAAGCAACAGGCAAAAATCAAGCAGAATGAAACTGTCACCTCATACAGAACCTATAGTGTTTTTAACTTGTTTCGAGACATTTGGGGGAAGAAAGAGGGTAAGTGATACTTCATCTTCCCCCTTTGTTAATATAACTCCTTCATAGCATTAAAAGTTAATGTTACCTGAAAGGCAAAGCAAATGAACTACAAAATTGTATTCAAACAGAATCCTCTAACTTTCCTGCTAACATAACTTGCTTGTAGAAATGAAGCTATTAGTGCAAGAAGTCGAGCTGATCAGCTCCTTTTTGACTGAGACATTTGCATGAATGGTTTTGGAAAAATCAAAGTTAAAATCAGTTCTAAACAGAGTACATGCTACATTACAACACAGTAACACAGTGTAGGAACAAGTCCCTGAAACCCCCCAAAAATCACAGACTTCCCACCACCGAAAACCAGATAACTTTCACCATTAAGGAATACTCAGAACCTCATGTCATACTAACCAACTCCAGAAGAGCCTTCAGACTTCCATGAAATGGCATCCTGCATTTCTTCTGTCATCTTCTCTAATCACATACCATCTGCAAAGGCAGGATCAGGTCACAAACTGACATAGGTGTGCACACAAACCAGCAGAACCTAGAGCAGGGCTTGGTACTCAAGTGGTTCTAACCATCACAAACATTCCTGATAGCCACTATGTGGAATCATGCTTAACATCTGAATATTCTCCTATTTCACCTGACAGCTCTTCTTCATTTGTTTATTTTAAGTAAGACACATAGTCACCATCTTTGCTTATACAAAACGCTGCATGTTAAGTACTTAATACGCCCAGAATAAGTGCCATGAAAAGGACACTCATGGTGGGTTTGTTCAGAAAGGCCATTCTCACTCACTCTCTTCAGAGCAGTTGAACATCTTGCCAATCATCACAACAAGTTTTCTCATGGCATTCTCAAGTTCAGGGGGAGAAAAGCGCTGATGTTTTCTAAACCAACAAAGCATCTTCTCAGTTAAGAAGAAAACAGGAATCTTACAGGCTTACCAAGTTATAGCCAGCTAATCTGCAACAGGCAAGGGTTAAAAAGCAATCTGCACACCAACTTACCAAGATGCTGCTTCAGACTGGACTACCAGGTAGACTCCCTAAAAAGTAAATTGTTGCATCTGAGTAACAGTTTGAAGTTTAAGTCTTAATAAGTTACTAAAATACTGAATGAAGAATATCTATCAATGAATCACAGAATCGTTTGGGTGTGAAAGGACCTTAAGATCATCAAGTTCCAACCCCCTGCCATGGCCAGGGATGCCTCACCCTAAACCATGTTGCTCAAGGCTCTGTCCAGCCTGGCCTTGAACACTGCCAGAGATGGAGCATTCACCACTTCTCTGGGCACATGTCCCAGTGCTTCACCACCCTCACAGTAAAGAACTTCTTCCTAGTATCTAACCTGAACTTTCCCCCAGTATGAAGCAGACAGACTGTGGTCCAGTTATGCTGTCCAAATGCTAACACCAAAACAAAGTGGGTTTTTGGAAATCAGAGCCATGGCCCAGACTATCACACAACTGCCAACAGCATCTATCCACTATGTGAGAAAGTGGAGTGTTATGGCACAGAGGTATAGCTAAAGGAGATACCTGACAAAGGAAACCCCTATGACATCATATTTTAAAGCTTACAAATATGCTCTAATAAGTCATCTACAAGAATGCAGCACTGCAAGTGTTCTTCCCCCACCTGCTAATTCTACTTCCTCTAGTAGGGAGGATGCAGAATCTAAACAAGCTCACCCTTAGGATTCTGCAGTAGCTGCATTTTCAACTACATTTGCATAGCTGTCCACTAAGTGAACCTGTTACAGGTCTCATTGTCACCACTGCAATTAACTATACAGTGAGGAAAGCACAACCTGTTCCTTTTCTAGCCACATTTTTCAATTCAGACACACAGTGAGTTGTGTCTATTTGCTGAATAACGTGGCATAACAACTCTTCACAATAGCTGCAGAACAGCTTTTGGTTTGGAAGCCCAGCCAGTTAACTTCAGCAGAAACATGTCACTTATCTGCCATCTGGTGCTTGGATTTGCATTTCAAAAATCAAATCCTGCTTCCTTGTAAAAAAAAGGCAACCAAAACCTAAGACTTGGGCTTTTATGATCCTCATCCAACTACCTCCCACCTAGGAAAAAACAACTATTTCCTCAATACTTACCCTCAAGCAGATGCTTTCCACTGTGTTCCAGACACCACAGGAATGCCCTTTTAAGAAGAAATATTTTGAAGTATTATCATTATAGTTCCTCAATGTTGCATTTTACAAGCTTTGTAATAAGAAACTTTTAATGCACTTGTTTCAACAGAAATACCAAGTTTAACCAGCACATCAGCATGGAAACCAACGATGCCAGCTGCTGAAATACTGTAGCACTGCTTTTTGAACACCCCACCAGGAAAACACTGCTGGGTGCAGATACCATCCAGTGCATAAGCCAGTCTGGTTATTTGCTGTGGGAATAGCACTTGCCTGAAGAAATCTGATACTCTTATGCTGAAGTTCAGCAGAAACACAACTTACCTCTTTCACCGATGTGCTCCACAGGAGTCCACTTAAGTAAGAGAGCTGTACATCAGAAACCAGCTAACAGCCGTAGGAACTGAAGCACTCAAAAGCTGCTGTGCTCAATCTGCAGAGCCTGGAAAGAAACAGATGTAACTGCACTACACTTCTGCAGATCCGTGACACGGAACCTATGCCCTAGGTTCATCAGTATTTGAAATAATTTCTGTTTGAACACATGCAAATACTGTCCCTTCATACACGTAACACAACCAATATGTTCATCAGCTGTGGGTTGCAAAAGAAGGGTTTTTTCTAAGCACTAGGTTCCAGGTTTTTGTCTACAGCAACAGACAAAAACTGAACACGTGCTGGAACAGACTGAACGCAGCATCTTATAGTTTTCCACTGCTTTTGAAACTACATTTGAAGCTATGTGTCAGTTTCCTATACAGTGACCATTAGTAACTGTCACCTTCCACTACCATCTCTTCTTCTATTTTGAGACACAGGTGCAGTTTCGACCAAAGTAATTGTGGCAAGGAGTTCAGTATCAGATACTCTGTTGTAAGAACAACTTATGCTGTGTCAAGCTGGTGTATTATCTAGTCTGGCACCCACACTACAGCGTCAGCCGAAGAAGAGACTATGTTCTTATCAGGTTTCACTCCCTGCCCAGCTTTGGCTCAGGGATTCTCATGTTAAAGATGTTTTCCTGTCCAGTAATCTTACACAGCATTTTCTTGCATGCCATTTCCTAGGCTGTCCCAGAGCCACACAGACTTGGCAACATCCTACAGGAAGGTGTTTTAGACATTTAGACAGCTTTACAAGACGCAAGTGCAAGACTAAGAGCTTCTCCCTGCTGTCCCGTTAACCAGTTAACAGCTTACCTTTTACATCAGGAAAACCAGGTGGCATTTCCTCCTCCAAAAGCACCATAAACTGGAATAAAGAAAAGCAAAGGAATGCGAACTATCAGATATGGTCAAGCAACTGAGATTCCTAAAGCTATGTTTCAGCAAGCAATGTAACAGTTGTGACAAGCCTGATTTTCATGTGATTTATCCAGTTCTAATCAGAATTGAAATTTAGTTCATTTCTGAGTCACTCAGCAGTTGAACAGAAAAATTCATCACATGAACTGCAGAATGAGCAGGACCCCACATAACGCCTTGCTACACCTTACCCTGCAAGAACCCCACTCCTAGATCCAGGATGAGTCTTTCAAGCCATAGAGTATCTCTCAGGTAGACCCCTAAAAGAGTTACATTTATAGCCATTAATTTTGGACCAGCATTAAATATCATCTTCCAACAACTGAAGATTAGTTTTTACAGTCTTAGTCCCTTGAGCTACCAAGCTGCAACCGGAAAACTCCCAACTTTACAAAGATTTGGGACCCTAACTGAAGCACACAAGGAATGCAACTTGACCTGCTCTAATAATCATACTGAGCACCTACTGTAAATTTCCTCCCACTGTCAACTGTGTTTTGAAGGAAATTAAACAAGCAGATATTAAATCTTTTCCCGACAACATCCTTGTTTGGCACAGACTGTTTTTAACTGCTAAAGAGCTCTACTGCTGACAATGATTTGTTATTAAGAGTGACACAAATCAGCTTTGCCTTTTAAATCTTGCTGATTCACAAATAAACTTCTTATACACTTTTTTACTGACACTGCTAGAAAGACAGCCTTGGCATCAAGTCAGCCACCCTCAGACATTACTATACATTCAGTAGTCACATTCCCAGCTGTCTAAAACACCCCTGGGAGAGTATCTGCAACTGGGGCAATTCTTGTTAAGTTTCCATCTTGCGCTTAGTCATGTACATATCAGAATTCATTCAGGACAGAGGAAGGTAAGGGAAGAATCTTGTAATCCAAGATTCACTGTGCTGCTACAGGTATTTTAAGGTAAATTCCAATTCCAGATTACTCGATTAGATTCAGGAGCACAGAAATTTTCTGAGAAGTTATTCCACATGAAACAGACAACCTCAATCACACAAGTCCATTTCATCATCATCTGAATGCATCAACCATAGTCTCCAAGAAGCTTTTGTCCCAGCTAACTAACCGCTTTCACTTTCACTGTCGGCACTTGATCTGCATAAAGCTTCAACACTGACTTAGCTCTTGAAGTATTTCGCATCATATCCTGCATTTTCTCAAGACAGAAAAATAATCTCAGAGTACCGCAAGTCAGCTATGAAAGGGTCCAAACTGTCCCCTGTAACTTCAGTAAATGTACATGTGCATGTAAACATAGAACCATAGAACCAGCTACGTTTGAAAAGACCTTTAAGACCATCAAGTCCAACCACTACTTCAGCACTGCCAAGACCACCACCAAACCATGCCACTGAAAGCCTCATCTACATAATTTCTGACTATACTTTTCTACACTGTGCTGCTGCTGTGTACAGTATCTGGACCTTCTTTTCAAAGAATCATAGAATGGTTTGGGTTGGAAAGGACCTTAAAATCATCTAGTTCCAACCCCCCATGCCATGGGCAGGGGCACCTCACCCTAGGCCATGTTGCCCAGGGCTCTGTCCAACCTGACCCTGAATACTCCTTTTATTTTGTTATGTAACTGTCTCAGGCAGTTGTATTTGTTTCTATTTGTTTTGTAACTGTCTCAGACACAAGCCCAATATACTCACCTTAAACTAAAGGCGACTACGTTGAGTGACCACTGCCATCTCATTTGCCTGTTCACCAACGTAAACCCACAGAAGCCCAAAGTTTTCAGCTGCCGTCATATTCCTCCTCTACTTCAATCACTTCAGTTAATTTTGCACGTTTCTTTTCTGGCTTTTTTTCTTACTGGGAATTTTGCTACTTAGAATAAAAGCGCTGTTCTCCTAGGAACATAAGACAAAAGGATTCACAAGTCTAGTTCTGAGATACTTAAATGATAATATTTTGGTAGTAACTTTGCAAACTTTAAGAACTCTTCAGAGAATTCTGGATTTCCAAACATTCCAGCATTATTTCAAAGAGGAGAGAGTGTGGGCTCTCAAAGCAACTTTCTTATGGATTACAGATCAAGATTCACAGGTTTCCCAGTTAACTCTGGATCTAAGATCAAGGATCTAAGATCAAGATTTAAGTACTCAAAGCATCATCTACTAGTTCTTTAACCTCTGAATAAAAAGAAGGCTAGACAGTTTCTGAAATGAAAGAATATTTACTCACCACTACTGTGACATCATGGTCTTCTTGATTATCAGAATTCAAGCTATCATCATTATCACTGAAATAAAAATTAAAATCAAGCTCTGGACTTTTACAATAGTCTAAAAATTTGTCAGCTGTTTTCCTACTACAAGTCCTCTATTAGGAGAAACCTCTTAATGTGTATGGCAATGCTACAGCTTATCGGTGTACACTACTACTTCTACATAACATTGTTTTCAAATGACAGTTTCTGACAGCAGAATTGCAGCCTCAGAAACAGTACTGGTAGGACAGCAGCAGTGCTTAGTAGCAGAATAAAGATTTAGTGGCAGACATCAACAGTAGTATAGAGATATTTAGGACTGCACTGGCAAACAGGCCAGGATGTCAACAAGCCAGAAAACAAGCACAATACAACCAGAAAAACAAGGGGATGGTACTCTGCTAACACTACACAGCTTTCTTAATGATATTACTATGGCATTTCTTAATGATATGTTAATGGTATCTCCATACTGCCATGAAACAAGATTAAATTCCACTACCATGCACAGGTTTCTCTCAACATTGAGATAACAACATTTTGCAAGATGGCTTCAACAAGTGGCACAGGAAGGACTGGTTCACTAGTACTCATCTCATGTAAAGAATTCAGTGTCCAGATGAGCTCATTTGCATTTATTCTACAAAACTTCACTACTTCTGGAGGTTGTAGTGTGGTGGGGGGTGGTCTCTTCTCACAACAGCAGTAGAACAAAAGGAAACAACCTCAAGCTGCACCAGGGGAGGTTTAGATTGGATATTAGGAAATATTTCTTCATGGAAAGGGTGATCAGGCATTTGAAGAGGCTGCCCAGGGTAGTGATGGAATCATCATCCCCAAAATATTCAAAAAACACATAGGTGAGGACCTCAGTGACACAGTTTAGCAGTGGTCTTGGCAGCAATGGCGTAATGGTTGGACTTCATGATTTTAAAGGTCTTTTTCAACCTACTTGATTCTATGATAAAGGACAGGATAGTGGGAACTGAATTTGATATATCTACAACTGTCCCAACATCATATGCTACTGCAAGCAACTGTACTACCTCCTGAATTCCTCAACTGTGCTAAGTAGTTGGTTGTACTGGCTTGCCTAGGACAGAGCTAGCTTCAGGATGCTGTTCTGGAGATACGCAACTAAAAGCAGAATTGATGCCCTCCCAACACCAGGGAACAGGGGGTAGACCAAGAGCGAGCTGGACCTGGGCTGGAGTGTCATGCACCTATATTAAAGTATAAAACCCCGGAAGTCTTATACCACCTAATAATATAAAGCTAAACTTACTTTGTCTCCTGAATAGGGGAAATGGGGCCTTCATCATCCAAGTATTTGTGTCTCCGTTCCATCACACATTGTCTTTCCAAGTCTTCACTAGCCTGAAGGGCTTTTAAGGCTTTCTTAAGACAGTCTTCATATTTAACCATTTCAACGTACCGTAAATATCCCTTTATTGCTGCTTGCTGAAGAAAAAAAATAACACATCAGGCAAGACATTAAAAATACCACTACTGGGCAACCTGGTGTAGTGGAAGGTGTCCCTGCTCATGGCAGGGGGTTGGAACAACATGATCTTAAGGTCCTTTCCAACCCAAACCAGTCTATGGCTCTATGACGGCCAATTCAAACTTGCAATTTTTAAACTAAAGAAAGAAATAATACGTCTATCCCCCAAAATAAGAGGACTCACCTCATAGCCAAGAACCATCCTCAGGGGAATATGTGTCTTCCCATAATGTTTTTTAAAAAAAGGGAACTGAACACCTCTGTCTAGAAGCCTTCTCCTTCGCTCCTGAGGTGAGGCGGTCAGTGCTGGCCTCCCCACAGGCATCTGTGTGCTCACATACTTTGACTTCTTACTTTTCCTCTCTGCACCACGCATGTGTCTTCGCCATGCATCAGCCTTGGCATTTTTCCTCCTGAAGTGATAGTCAAGAATGGCTTTCAAATCGAATTTTGACTTGGGCCTCTCTGGAGTTTCTGATGGTTTTGGTGGACTCTGAGGGGAATCTGAGGAGCTTTCATTGTCAGGCCCTCCTGCAACAGCTTCAGCTTGTTGCCTTGAAGACTCAGATTTCTTTTTTCGCTTTGCAGGGGCAGTGGAACATTTGGGATGGTACCCACTGCCACTAGCAACAGAGACATCACTGAGAACAAGAAAAAATACTTAGTTTCAATACAATGTAAACTATTGTGATATAGGACACAGGCTCTTCACATGAAAAATTCTAAACTAGAGATAAAAACTCACATTTCTGAATCACTGCTGTCCAGCAAAACCTCAGGTGAAGCAGCTGACAATTTACGTATGTTAAGCTCGTTTGAAGATTCAACAGAAGCAGCATTTCTTTGCCTTGAATGCTCCATCTGTGTATTTGTTTCACATGCATATATTTTATGAGGTTTTCCTGCCAACTGCCGATTAGCTCTAGGTCATCAGGGTAATCAGAGCCAGAAGCCTGAGATCCATCTGTATCAGTCACGTTTCTGTTTGCCCTAAAAACCAATTCAAGGCATTAAAAAATAGTATTCCCACAACATTCTCCTGGAGAAACTGGCTGCCTACAGCTTGGATTGGGTGCGCTCTTTCCTGTTTAAAAACACGGCTGTATAGCTAAGCCCATAGAGTGGTGGTGAATAGAGTTAAACCCAGCTGGCAGCTTGTCACAGTGGTGCTCCCCAGGGTTCAGTTCCAGGGCCAGTTCTGTTTAATATCTTTATCAATTATTTGGATAAGGTAATCTAGTGCACCCTCAGTAAGTCTGCAGGCAACACCAATTTGGGTGGGAGTGCTGATCTACTGGAGGGTAGGAAAGCTCTGCAGAGGGATCTGGAAAGGCTGGATCAATGGGCCAAGGCCAACTGTATAAAGCTTAACAAGGCTCAGTGCTGGGTCCTGCACTTGGGCCACAGCAATCCATGCAGCGCTACAGTGGCTGAAAGGCTGCTTGGCAGAAAAGGACCTGGGGCATTTGTCAACAGCAGCTGAACATGAGCCAGCTTGTTGGCCAAGAAGGCTTACAGCATCCTGCCCTGTATCAGGCAGTGGCCAACAGGGCCCAGGGCAAGGATTTTCCCCTTCTCCTCAGCACTAGTGAGGCTGCACCTAGAATGTTGAGTTCTGGGCCCCTCATTGCAAGACAAATACGGAGTTGCTGGACCAAGTCCCATGAAAGGCATCAAAAATGCTGGATGGCGAAGCACAAGTCCTGTGAGGAACGGCTAAAGGAACTGGGGTTGTTTAGCCTGGAGGAAAGGAGGCTCAGGGGAGCTCTTACTGCTCCCTTCAGCTATCTGAAAGGAGGTTGTAGCAAGGTGCGGGACAGTCTCTTCTGCCAAACAAGTGATAAGACAAGAGGCAATGCCTCGAGTTGCACCAGTGGCAGTTAAGTTTGGATATTGGGAAAAATCACTGAAAGGGCTGTCACTGGCACAGGCTGCCCAGGGAATTGATGGATTCACCACCCTGGAAGTACTTAAGACACGTAGGTGGGGCACTGAAGGCCATGGTTCAGTGGTGGACTTCATAGTGCTGTGTGTGGCAGTAGTTAACAAGGCCTTAAAGGTCTTTTCTTAGCTAAACAGACTGCAGACTGCTGATAGCACTGGTTCACCCAAAGCCTGACAAACCCAAGACTGAGCAATGTAACAGCCTAACATCAAAGCAGGAATACGAGCAACAACAGCACTCTAGCTACCCAGACTGTAGCTGGTACTTACAGTCAGCAGCTCAGCATCATCCACTGCCTCCATTACAGCTCTGTTCTTAACATCTGGCACCACAGTCCCTTAATGAAGAAGCACAACAACATATAACTGCCTGAATAGTTCAGTCTCTCAAAAGAGCAACGATCGCTCCTCCAGCACCTCAGGCTAACAAACCGCTCACTTTCCCCCACCTCGCCCACCACAACTGCACTCTGAGGCCTGCACCACGGCAGGCACTCTGTCCATGAGCACCTGCCGGGTTACCACACAGCACGGACATCCCCACCCCGCACCGACGGCCGCCACACTGCCCACTCCCGGGGTTAATCCCGGCGGGGGAGGCCGCACCCGGCCCGGCCGCGCAAACGAAGCGGTCGGCGAGCGGGCGCGACTCAATACCACGGCGGCCGCTCTTCGCGTTCACCCGTATCACCTGTTCTGCCTACTCCCGTCGCCCCAGCGCCAAGGATGGCAGCGGATAACAAACAATTCTGCCACTTACCCTTCTCACCTCACGTATTGCCGCCACAAAGGGCGCCACATGGCCGCCCGAGAGCTTAAATAGCGTCGGGCTCTCGCGAGAGCCGCGCGGGCTGGCGGGAGGAAGGGAATGGAGTGAGGGTGTCGCTATGTTGGGGGTGGCGGGACGGGCGGTCCCCGCTCGGGGCGGGCAGAGGCACCGAGCAGCTCGGGCGGCGGGCCAGGTACGTGCGGTCGGGTGCGCGGGCTGGGGATCCTCGGGCAGTGCTTTTGCAGGCTGGAGCGGTGTGGGGCGGCTCTGGCTATCTCCCCGTTCAGCCGCTCCCCGCCTGGCCCAGGGGGGGTCCCGGCTTTCCTTCAGTTCCCGCGCTCCCCGCTCAGTGCGGGACCGCTGCCCGGGGCTGCCTCTCCTTATTGCTGCGTTCCCTTGCTCCAGCGCTCCGTGCTTGCCCCTGGCTGCCCTGGCGCCCTCTCCAGGGACCCCGGTCTCGCCTGTTCTTGCCCTTCCCCAAATCCCAGCCGCTTGAGCTGTCCTGCCGCGAACGGGATCTCCTCCCGTCGCCCCAGCTGGGGAACGCAACCTCTGCGGCTGCATCTGTGCGTGTCTTGCTCTTGGTGGCATCGCTAATTTTGTCTTCTCTCACTGACTGTCATTTTCCAGTTTTCCTCTCCTCTTTCCTTCCCTTCCCATTTTGACTCATCTCCAGACTGAACATAACTCCTCCTTTCCAGCTTCTACTCTCCAGACTAGTTTTAATGCAGGTTTTCATACCCTTTCCTGCCTTAATATCATGGTTCCCGTTTCATCCGCACTCTCCCAGCCCTTGGCTACTCTTTGATGTCTGCTTTCTTCCTCAAAAAGACAGACTTTTAAAGTCTTTTTAGATGCTTGTCCTTTCCATTTTGTTGCGCCATCCCAGATCTAATAATCTTACCTGTCCCTTTACCATTTGTGCTCTTTCTTTGAAAGCCTCTATAGTAATTCAATATCACTCCATCCTTCCAAGGTGGATCGTAATTGTCTCCTTTCAGGTTCTCTGTCTCCCACACCACACAAACTCCCTTGTGAATGCTTGCTGGGGTGGATGCACTTCTGTTCTGTGTCCTTCCCCGTAAGGACTAATGTCTAGCAATCAGATCAGGTTTATTATGGTACTTCAAGCTTTTCCCACGGGCTTTCCCTCCTTTCTTGATTGTGGTGAACTGACTACAGTCCTTTAAACAGCAGGTGAGGGTCTAGGTGTTGTATCTGAGCCTACCTATGTGAACTGTGTCCAAGTCTTGCCTCTGCCTTTTGTACCACAGCAGTTCTAGCCTGTTTTCTTAGTCTGTTTCAGACTTTTTCAGCCAGTTACCTTGTCACCTCCTTTCTCTGATTGCTCTCTTTCTTGTGTCCTTGTGTGCACACTTCAAGTCTTGCAGTAGGGCTCACTCCATCTGATGGGGTTCAACCAGAGGCACCAATCCAGCCTGTTACATTCTCCACAGCCAGAGAAGGGTGGTACCAGTGGAGATGGATAAGACCAACTAAGATGAGAATTACTATACACAGATAGTTGTTTTTCTCCCTTTACCTGCTGCTTGCTACAGCAGTAACTGGGGTGGCTGAACTTAGCGCTTAAAGACTTAATGTGACTGCTCTGATCTCCCACCTCTATTTCTTTTTCTTTTCATCGGGTTTTCTTTTCCTTTGTGCAGACTTGAGAGGCCAATGGTGTAAGGAAAGTTATGATTTTTGACAGTCATAACATAGAATCATAGAATAGTTAGGGTTGGAAAGGACCTTAAGATCATCCAGTTCCAAAACCCCTGCCATGGGCAGGGACACCTCACACTAAACCATCTCACCCAAGGCTCTGTCCAGTCTGGCCTTGAACACTGCCAGGGGTGGAGCATTCACAACTTCCCCATGCAACCCATTCCAGTGCCTCACCACCCTCACAGTAAAGAACTTCCTCCTTATATATAACCTAACTAGGATTTCTTTTAAAATAGAAGCTGAAAGTATACATGAACAGCTATCTCGTATCACAGTCCTTTCTAAGTAGATCTCCTTCAGGTCTGGGATTGTAATTGGGGTTTTGGCTTTTTCCTCCAGGGCCTGAGATCTGGATAAGTGGGACCCATTTTATTTTTCTGTTGTGTGCAGCAAGCGTGTGCCTAAGGAGTTAATGATTGTTGTGGCTGGTTTATAGGTAGTGTATAATCAGCTGTTCTGCCCTAAGCTACTGGTTGGCCCTACTAGCTGACTTTGCTGCTGCAAGGCTGACTATAATATACTTCATTTGTAAAGAGGTTCCTAAAGTTATATTCAAACAAAACTTTTTGTTGCAGGCTCTGTAGCCGTACACAACCCAATACTGCAGGTCTTGCTGCTGTTGTTTTCTGTTTTGCTACTAGCCTGTTTCCTTCTGAAGAGGGAAACACATGGCTAGAACCAATTGGAGACCATGGCACAGCTAAGGTTGAAAGTTCATTATAGCCAGTGCTGGAAAAGTAAACATTAACTTAGGGAAGACCTGAGAAGGCAGCCAATGCGCTCAGAAAAGCCCAGTTTTCTTTCAAAACCAATCTGGCTCTACACTAACAAAGGACACAGATGAATCTGACCTGTCTTCATGAACTGGATTCAACATAAGGTGTGTTTTGCCTACACCCACTTGTAAGCTTGAGGGCTAGCATGTGTAACGCTCTGAAACAGCTGTAGAGCTGACAGACACCTCTTCTTCCAAAGCACGTAAGAAAATTAACGTTAATATTGAAGCTGTTAGTCTTTGCTTTGATGGCAGAACTACAATTCTACTGTTGTCTAGTCTTGTGTGAAATTGAAAAATAGGTAACATTGAAAGCAGCCTGTTTTAATCATTAAACTATTATCCTTGTTGCAGATCAGCTGCTCCTGCAGGGTGGTGGATTGTAGTTACTTCTCTGAAGAAATCAGCACCCATTAGGAAATGGCCAAAGTCGAAAGGTTTGCTTTTCATGTTCCAAGTCTGGAGGAGCTTGCGGGGGGTAAGTCATGCAGTGCATAACTTTTAACAGCATTTAATGTACTCTTCAAACTTATCTTAAAGCGCTTATCAAAACCTCTCCACAGCGAGTACATGCAGAATGTTCCTGTTCTTACATACTGAGATGTAAAAAGCACTATGTTTGTTTATGCTATTATTTCCTTAAAGCAAACATTGACTCCTCCCCAAGACCCAAATGATATTCAAGCACACAAACAGCCTTTCAAACCCTTTAAAACTGTCTGGGTATTTGCAGATTTGGGAAAGTTTTAACAGTTACAGATTGAACTCATTTACACATATGGGATCATCTGCCCTCTATGCTCCTGTATTTCTTTTTCAGGACTACCCAAAATGCAGATGACAAGATCCAGTATAGCACAACAGGTCCTCTTGCTTGAACCTGGTTGACACCTCTCCTGTAGATTGCCTTAGAACCAGGCTGCAGGAAACATTTTGTTCCGTTTTTCTTTCCAAAACCACCTCAAAATGTGCTCAGAACAGAATGGTTGAGGTTGGAAGGGATCTCTGGAGGTGACTTGGTCCAACGCACCTTCTCATTAACTTCTTTCTTTGCCCTAGTAGAAAGGCATTGTCCCTCTGGAAGTCTCTCTTGCAGCAGATGTACAAAAAGATTTGTTTCTATCAGGATTAGTCCTCAAGTTCAGTGTGGCACTCTCCCAACTGTGTCAGTTTGACATTTCCATGCTTTGAGGAAGTGTGGTCCCAGCAGTACGCTGGGTGGTTCTCAGTGCTTTTCTCACGCAGCAGCAGTCAGGCTGGGCCAATAAGCCAAGGTTGCTATAGACCTGTGGGGTCTGCAGAGAACAGCAGGTACTTGCAGTAGAACAGCTTAAAACAGGAATAGGAGAAAATGAGCCACAAAGTAGAATTTTCCTTTTTTTCCCTGAGTTTGTCCTGAGGACCTCCTGTAAGCTGTGAATTTTGTTGCTGTCCAGCTCTTGAGGAGCATTTGAGGAGTGAGTGCCCTTTTATTGTCCTTTTCCATTTGCCAGAAGGTAATGAGGTGTATTTGGGAGACCTGCCAAGTACCTTCTACTGACCCTTGTGATCAACAGCTTGGTAAATCTGCTCCCAAGAAGTAAAGTATGGCTGAAATCCTGATTAGAGAAAACAGAAAAACAGGAGAGTCCTGAGTAAATAAGGAACTGCCTGATTTGAGACAACAGACTGGGTTTTCTGTTCCTTAGTTCAAGACATCTGTCAAAGCAGACCCCCAGGCATGAAAGAACTCGGACCTTTTGACATGTTATTTGAAGCAGTGGATGTGAAGGCATTCCCACACTCAGTTAAGGTTTGGAAGTTGTTTCCAAAGAGCGCACCTGTGTAAGTCAGAATCCTCCCTGTTGCTTGAGTGACTTTGCAGGTTCTGAGCCTAAAAACATCGATATGAAGCAAAATGAAAAGTTCAAGTTTGAAGCTGTTCATTATCATCAGCACCGTTCGTTATCTGTCTTATCCGGACAGTGGCACTTGCCAGAAAAATCTCCACATGAATGTAAATGTGACAGACCCCTGACAGCAGAAGTTTCCAGAGAGCAGAGACAGCCTGAGATTATAATCAAGCTGTTGCAAACAGTCTAGTTAGTATATTTAAAGAACTGATTGTCACTTCAGCTAAAACTTTATGCCTCCTTTGCTCTTTCATGATATTTGACTGTAGTTACAACTGTTTGCTCCTGTGAAGCAAAACTACTGTTGAGTGTGGTTTAAATTTACTCATGTTACTTCACATTGTGTTGTTCCTAGTGCTACTAGGAGTAGTCAGTTATTGTATTTCAATTAAAAGATCTTTAAAATTCATAAAATGAATTAGTGTGATAGCTACACAATTATCTCTACAAGCTTTTGCTCTTCTCTGAAACTTTGATTCAGGCAACAAGTGCCTATGGACAGTAACACTTAGTGCAGTTAGGGTCAGTATAAGTCCTTTAATGTATCTTGCTGAAATAATCCCTAAACAGGTGTATTTATTATTGTTAGCAACTTGCCAAACTCTTGGTAATTTTTCATTGTCAATCATTTTGCCATTATTCTTTATCACAGTTTTGCAGAAAGGGCTGAAAGAAAACTTTGCTGATGCTCAAGTGTCTGTTGTAGACTGCCCTGATCTGACTCAGGAACCCTTCAACTTTCCTGCCAAAGGTAACCATGCGTTCCTGTCTTCCACAAAGACTTCTCCAGTTCTTTCTACCTGATCCTACTTGGTTTTGATCTTCTAAAGATGTTGGGAGAGCTTAAATTGTTTTTCAGATAAAGAGTATGCATGAGAGGAGGGCTACATTTTATTTCTGGATTTGATTCCTAGTTGATGTATGAACAAGGACAAGTCATTACCAAGTACTTGTCATAATTTTCTTAACCTATGATTGCAATGCTCACTGATTTCATAAGCTTTATTTAGTGTACTGAAGAGGTTTTGAAATTAAGTTGTTATCCTCCAGATGAAGAAATTCTTTAGGCCCATGCCAATCACTGTCTGAATATAAGGAGTTACACTTCCATGCATTTTTAAATTCCTGTTATTTGTGTATGCCAATGAACTAAACCCATCTTATTCTGAGTGGCGTTCATCTTCTCTGACATTAGCTGCGTGGAAGACAGACATGTCAGCTGTGCTACTCATCTGAGTTCCCTCTGTCATCAATGTATTGAAAGAAACATCTCCAGGAAGTGATTCATCACTTCTTAAAATGCATCCAAATAAGTGGGATGAATTGTCCCAAGAGTTGGGCATCCAGCTTTGCTGGAATTTTGCAAGTGAAGTGTCAGTGGCGGTATCTATTGTGTGGTGAGGGTGTCTTAATGGAGAGCTGGTGAATGGCAGTTGTTGCCCACTGTAATAATGTTTTCTGCTTAACAGGACGTTAATTTAATAACAGGTATTAAATTGAAACCTAATGTGAAGCATTTTATGGTTTAATGTCATAGAATCATAGAATCCTAGAATAGTTAGGGCTGGAAAGGACCTTAAGATTGTCGAGTTCCAACCCCTCTGCAGGGCACCTCACACTAAACCATGTCACCCACGGCTCTGTCCAACCTGGCCTTAGTGTAACACTTTATGTAAGCAAGCTATGGAAATAGTGTTTTCAAAGGGTTTTAAAAGCTTGAGAAAGCAGTTCTTTGGTGCGTTAGACTGCATGCTCATTGAAGATTATTAGAGAAAGTATTTTTACCAAGCTAACTGGTTGCATCTTTCCAGGAATCTGCGGGAAACCTAGGATAGCAGATGTGGGAGGTGTTCCTTACCTCATACCTGTTGTACAGAAAGAAAAAGTGAGTTTTTCCTGTGGCTGTGGGGTTTAATACTTTTGTCAAAAGAAAAGCAATATTTTGTTGAAATATAAACAAAACTAAGGACTAATGAATACAATAAAACTTACTTTCAATGATTTGATTCTGATGTGTGTTAAACATAGACTCTGTCATGAAATCTTAGTCATTGTAGCAAAAATAGCAAAAACGGTTGGAGGTTCATCTTCTCCTGCCCTCAAATACAACATAGTTTTGGAAACATACCACCTGTGATAGCAGCAATGAAAGGAACTACTAAACAAGAGGCTTGTCTGCATGTTTATATGTGGTTTGATACATGGCTGTGATCTCAAGTCACAGCCAGGATTCCCTCTAAAACCTGGCTGGTTTTGCGTTTTTCAGGCCAGCACTGGATTTGCATTACAGTCCTTTTTGAAGAATATCATGCCTCCTTTCTGAGACCTCACCCCATCTGTCTCTGTATTCCCTTCCATTTGACTTATTTTACACAAATACAAATTCCAATAAAAACAATAATTCAGGTTTGGGGTGGAATGGCAGGGGAACATACAGGCAGATTCCACCTTTCAGAAAACAAACGGACATGTACCTGATTTGTTACTACCAAATGTTGTGCTGTTCAGAAACTGTGTTCAGCCTAATTATCCAAAATACTAACGAGGGCCTTGTGAATTAAATGCATCCAGAGGTTACAGTGAACAGATTGACAATTCCTGATCAGAACACTACACCAAAAATCAAAGGAGTGTTTCTCTTTTGCAGGTTTATGATCTAAATACAGTTGCAAAGGACATAGAGCTGCCTGGAGCTTTTATTCTTGGAGCTGGAGCTGCTTCATTTAAGGTTCTTGGAGTAAACGCTGAGGTCAGTAAATGAGTGTGATAGTTCTCAATGAATTCATGGAAGTATCATAATATTAAAATACTATGATGGGTATTTCCCATTTACAACAAAACACTTAATAAACACCATTCATGCCAAAAGCACATAAAACACATTAGCGGGAATTCAAATGAAGGCCACCCAATGAGGTTCACACTATTGAGATAATAAAGCTTAATCTTTAACTTGTAATTCCCCAGGAAGCATGTGATTCATAGAACCATAGAATAGTTAGGGTTGGAAAGGACCTTAAGATCATCTAGTTCCAATCCCCCTGCCATGGGCAGGGACACCTCACACTAAACCATGGCACCCAAGGCTCTGTCCAACCTGGCCTTGAACACTGCCACGGCTGGAGCATCCACAGCTTCCTTGGGCAACCCATTCCAGTGCCTCACCACCCTAACAGGAAAGAATTTCCTCCTTATATCCAATCTAAACTTCCCCTGTTTAAGTTTTAACCCATTACCCCTTGTCCTGTCACTACAGTCCCTAATGAAGAGTCCCTCCCCAGTATCCTTATAGCCCCCCTTCAGGTACTGGAAGGCTGCTATGAGGTCTCCATGCAGTCTTCTCTTCTCCAGGCTGAACAGCCCCAACTTTCTCAGCCGATCTTCATTATACTGTGAAGAGTGCAAGAAATGTGATTTTTTGAAACTGATTGACAAAGACCTGACCAGAGGATTTAAAGAAAAGATTTAGAAATGCTTTGTCAAATTTGCTGGTAAATGCCTTTGAAATACTCCCTGGGTTTTGCCTTCTTGAATGGCTTTGTTCTACCTTGTAAATTTTAAAGATGCCACAAACAACATGGTCACCTGCAAGAGAGGTGGGAGACAAAAGCTCCTGCTGTCATAGTCTTTCCAAACGTAAACCTCTGGTTTTGCCACCTCCTTGTGATGCATTTATTGGTGGATGGGATAGTCCCCGTCAGCATTAAATTTGGGCCATTATAATAGTGGTTGTTACTGTACACTGAGAAAGCACTACAAAGAATTCCAGTGCTTACATGCAGGCCTCACATCTCAATCATTAGACTTTTTCCTTTCTTTACTAGTACCATTAATCTTCACATAACATTAAATTTAACTGTCCAGAAAAGGTAAGACTGTTTTCTGGAGTTTGCAATCATATTACAATATTAGTGCAGTTTTCTTACTAGTACAGACCTCATCCTGAGAGACAGATCTGGGTGACAGAGGACATTATTTCTTGGGATCATGGTCCAAAGCTTAAATTCCATTTATGTGGGTTCTGTTCATTTCACTGACTCTTTACATGTTCTTACTGACTTACACGGTTTGGTGTTTTTTTTCAGCTTATCCCTATTGTTCAAACTAAGAGTGAAAAAAAACCTGCTGTAAATGGGAGCTACGTTGCTCAGATAAATCCTGCAGATAAAGGCTGCCTGCTTGAGAAGTACAGCAGTAAATACACTGACTGTGAGTTTGGGCTCTTGGCCAACCTTTATGCCAGCGAAGGCCAACCTGGTAAGGTGTGTACTTGAATCAAAGGTGGCTATGCTTGTGGAGCTTTGTGGCTGAAGGGAAACTTACAATTCAATGTTCTCCTATTGTTGTGATAGTAATGTTGTCTGTGATAATAATAAAGTAGCAATTTCATAAAATGAATATCCAGATATAAGGAACTGATGTTAGTGAACAAGAGGAAGAATTGGTGGAGACGGAGAGGAGTTTGGATTTTTTATAAGTATTGGTTTACTGAACTCTTCCATCATAAATCATCCCTCCAAATCCAGTCCAATGTAGCAGTGATTTAAGGTAATGGTTGTACAATGCACTTCTGTAAATCAGCTCTGGGCAGTTGTCTGATTTTTTGGAGAAGTCCTTCCCTCAGCACAGCTAGTGCAAAGAGGTGTGGGCAGAGTCAGAAACCTGACGGCTGCATGGAAACTGAGCAGTGTTCTCCGTTCCCAAAAGTTTCTTTATAACTCTTGAGAAGAACAGAGTGGAAACCAGCTGGTGGACAGAAAGGGTTTGCTTATATCATTGTCTCATGTACGGGTGCTGGGCAGTAAGCCATTTACTCAAACACAGGCAAAGCTAGCATTGAACAGACAGGAAGGAGAGTTGGTCAGGTGCTGGAAGGATGCAAGTAGAGCAGCACTTGCAGGGAAACACATTCTCAACAAGTCCTCTTGGTTTATAAGCTTAAAAGAACTTCAGAGCAGCTTTCACAGACCTTTGCAGACTGTTGCAGCATGAGACAGCAGTGACTAATTAACTTTATTTTCCAGGTCATTGAAGTGAAAGCCAATGGAAGAACTGGGGAACTGAACTTTGTGTCTTGTTTGAGACAAATTTTAGAGAAACAGTATGGAGAAAAGCCAGTTGGGATGGGTGGTACATTTATCATTCAGAAGGGGAAAGCCAAGATTCACATTATGGTATGTTGTTCTCAATTCAGATAACTTCCTTTATCCATCAGAAAACAGATGCGTAAATCAGGGTATAACATCTTAGTGCCTTGACTTTTTTTTTCCTATTTTTAAATGGATATATAAACTGTTAGGATAAGCAGTGCATTAAAGTAAGGAGTTGATGTTGCAAAAGTATTACTCAGCCTTAATACCATCATCTTTGCTTTTGAAATCTGTGGGCACCTAAAGAACTGCAGAACTACTGTAAAATGAACTGAAATTAAATACATGAAATTGTACTTATAAGAAGCAATAGACTTATTTTTGCCAAGTAACCAAACTTCTAAAAAGTACCAGGAGGAGAATCCTCATTTCAGTAGCTCTCCTGTGCAATGAAAGAAGCAATATTCTGGTCACTTTTATTTCTAGCAGAAACACAGTATTGGCCACTGCTGAGCTGCTTTTAGTCAAGAATCAGGGACTGTAGCAATAGGACAAGGGGTGATGAGTTTAAACTTCAACAGGGGGAGTGTTAGATATAAGGAAGAAGTTCTTTACTGTGAGGGTGGTGAGGCAGTGGGACAGGTTGCCCAAAGAAGTGATAAATGCTCCATCCCTGGCAGTGCTCAAGGCCAGGTTGGACAGAGCCTTGGGTGACATTGTTTAGTGTGAGGTATCCCTGCCCGTGCCAGAAGGGTTGGAACTGGATGATCTTAAGGTCCTTTCCAACCCAAACCATTCTATGATTATACAAGAAGAAATGCGAGCAGAATTGTGGAGAGGGGAAAAGTGAGAGAAAGCTTTTAGAGAAAAGGTATCTTGATACAGGTGTCTTCCTTTCACTTACAAAGCTTTTATTTTGTTGTAGCCTCCAGAATTTTCTGCCTGTCCTCTGAATACTGATGAAGATGTGAACAACTGGCTCAAATTCTTTGAAATGAAGGCTCCGCTGATTTGTCAGCCAGTAATAGTTTCCAGAGATCCAGTGAGTCTTTCTCATTTCTGAGTGTAAACTGAGACTTGTAATGAATTTTGTCTTGGATGTGATTTTCCTTTTAAGAACAGAAGTGTGTATATACTGCATACACGTTGTATATATTGTATATACCACCTCTCCTAGAGGTGGTGTGATGAAATAGAAGCTTATCATTTCTATCACTGGACAGAGCCATGAAAATGGAATAGAGGGCTGGAGCACTTCTATGAAGACAGGCTGAGAGATCTGGGGTTGTTCAGCCTGGAGAAGAGAAGGCTCTGGGGAGACCTTAGAGCAGTCTTCCAATACCTAAAGTGAACCTATAAGAAAGATGGAGAGAAGGATTTTACAAGGGCAGGTGGGGATAGGGCAAAGGGGAATGGCTTTAAACTGAAAGAGGGTAGATTTAGATTAGATATTAGGAAGAAGTTAATCCCTGTGAGGGTGCTGAGGCTGGCACAGGGTGCTCAGAGAAGCTGTGGCTGCCCCATCCCTGGCAGTGTTCAAGGCCAGGTCTGATGGGGCTTGGAGCAACCTGCTCTGGTGGAAGGCGTCCCTGCCTGTGGCAGGGGACTGGAACTGAATGAGCTTTAAGGTCTCTTCCAACCCAAACCAGTCTGTGATGAAAAAAGTAAATTTCTGCAAGATTGACACCAGAAGTTGGGGACTTTCAGGGTTTCTAAACATTTTTCTCTCTGATGTCCTATGGTAAGGCTTTGTACAGCTCCTCTTCTTTTGTCTCATTAGTTTCACAAGCATCTTGCAAATTTTCAGTGCTTAATAATTGGAGCAGGCTCTGAGAGCTGTGGAAATCTGCACCTAGGAGAGGCTACCCCAGGACTTTTGAATACTGTTCACATGGGTATGTGTTCACGGGCCTTTCTGTGGTGACAGGGCTTTGACCTGCGTGTCGAGCACACCCACTGCTTCAGCCACCACGGGGAAGGAGGGCACTACCATCAGGACACCAGCCCCGACAGCGTGCAGTACCTGGGGTACTTCCTGCCAGCCGAGCTGCTCTTCCGCATCGACAGGCCCCAGGAGACCCACCTCATCGGGAGAGACTGAAGCTGTGGTGACAGTTGAATCTTTCTACAATACAAATGCTGATTTTTTTAAAATGCTTTTGATTATTTACAGTTATCAGAGTCAAGAATAAATATGGCAGCAGTAAAGAGATGACTTCCTCATTTTGTGAAAAAGAGAAATCTGGAGTGTATCTGCCATTGCAGTTTATGGCTGTTATGGCTCCAAGAAGGATGCAGACCTGTTAAGAGTGGGTCTGTAGAAGGGAGGGAAGGCATCCGCTCTTGTAGTGCGCCGTGTTAGTGATTCCCGGCAGAGCAGCACAGCTCCGCCGGTGCCGATAGCGACCGCCCCCTCGGGTCCGGCCCCGTCTTCTCCCGAGCGCTCTCCGGAAACAGCCGAGCCCGCCCGGCGCTGGCCACGTCCCTTCCTGAGCGTCCTCCGGAAACAGCCGAGCCCGCTCGGCGCTGGCCCCGCCCCTTCATCGCCCCGCCCCAGCTCGGCACCCGTAGTCGTCGCGGGGGTCGCGCCTGCCCCGCGGTCGGAGGTCGCAGGAAGATGGCGGGCGTGCCGGCCGTGCGCATCAGCATCGAGTCGGCGTGCGAGAAGCAGGTGCAGGAGGTGGGGCTGGATGGCAGCGAGACCTACCTCCAGCCGCTCTCCATGTCCCAGAACCTGGCGCGCCTGGCGCAGCGCATCGACTTCAGCCAGGGCTCTGGCTCCGAGGAGGACGAGCCGGGTTCGGCGGGCCGCGCCTGGGCCGAGCCCGGCGAGGCGGAGGATGAGGAAGGTGAGGGGCGGCGGGCCCAAGGCTCCCAGTCAGTCGGCCTGCGGCCTGAGCTCTCCCGCCGGGCTGTGGCTGATGCTTGGCCTGCAGCCCACTGATGCCTGGGCCTGGCGTCTTCCCGTGGGTGCCCGCGATTGGCCGTGGATCACGATATTCGTGATCGAGTCCCAGCAGATCACTGTAGTAGATGGAAAAGGGTAGATGCGGGTATCGTGCTGTTAAGTTGTATTTCATCTCTTTATGATCTCTCTGTGGTTTAAGAACAAGCCTTGCACTGTATGTTTTTAGTCTTTTGTTTCTTTTTCTTCTGTTCTGCTTTCAGGGTTGGTGAAGTTTCAGCCATCCCTCTGGCCTTGGGATTCGGTGAGGAACAACTTGCGAAGCGCCTTGACTGAGATGTGTGTGTTGTATGATGTTCTGAGCATTGTGAAGGATAAAAAATTCATGACTCTAGATCCAGTTGTGCAAGATCCCCTTCCTCCAAAACAGGTATGCTGTACCTAGTTGTATAGCTTGTGATACTAAAGGTTTTATTTCAGAGGGTATTTTTTTCATGTATGATGCATATATGGTTTAGTCAAATGTTCCCTGTGTTGTGCTGGCACAGTGCTGTATGGGTGAGGGTGAGGCTGACTGGGAGGTGAGGCTGATTGCAAAGGCATCTTTGCTGAAACTGTAATGTGACTTATGGGTGTATAAAGTGAAAGTAATGCTAAATAAGTTACTGAACATCCAGCAAAAAAAGTTATTAGTCACAGAATCATAGAAAGGTTTGTGCTGGAAAGGACCTTAAAGAGCATCCAGTTCCAGCCCTCTGCCATGGGCAGGGATGCCTCACACTAGACCATGTCATGCAAGGCTCTGTCCAGCCTGGCTGTGAGCACTGCCAGGGATGGAGCATCCACAGCTTCTCTGGGCAACCTGTTCCAGTACCTCACCACCCTCATAGTAAAGAATTCCTTCCTTATGTCTAACCAAAGCCTCCTTTGTTGAAGTTTGAACCCATTACCCCTTGTCCTGTTATTATAGTTCTTGGGGAAGAGTTCCTCTCTGGTATTCTTGTAGGCCCCCTTCAGATCCTGGAAGGCTGCTAAGATGTCAGTGTCAGTGGGCTTTCACTAACAATAGTTTTTTGAGACTTGAGGTGTGAGTGGCTTATTCTCTCTTTTTTCTGTGACTAGAATCCTCAGTTTCTACAGCTGATTTCAAAAAAGAAGTCCTTAGCTGGAGCAGCTCAAATCCTGCTGAAAGGTGCAGAAAGATTATCCAAATCAGTAGCAGAGAACCAGGAAAATAAGCGACAAAGAGACTTCAACTCTGAACTGCTGAGACTGAGACAACACTGGAAGCTGAGGAAAGTAGGAGACAAAATTCTTGGTGATCTGAGCTACAGAAGTGCAGGTAAACAAGCAGAACAAGCAGAAGAGTCTTTTGTCTAGAATGGATATTTATACTTTGTTGTTTTTTTTTACTGAAAACCAGATAGAATACCTGTAATAACATACTTTAAGACAAGTTAATTCTAATCATGAGACAAGATTGTAAGAGGAGGAAATTTGTTTTATTATCACGAAAAATCTTGTGCCATCCTCCAGCTAGAAAGTGATTTCAAAGGCTGCATAGGTTTCTAGTAAAGATTGCTTTGCAGAAACACCTCTGTATCAATAATAGTTGATCAGTTGACAGGTAGACCTTGTAATCATAGAATCATAGAATAGTTTGGGTTGGAAAGGACCTTAAGATCATCAAGTTCCAACCCCCCTGCCATCTTTGGGTTTTATCTGCGTTTGGCCTGTAAAGCACTTAAAAAAATAAAAAGAGGAGTATGTTGCATTTTCCTGGGAACAAAGATCATAGAATCATGGAATATGTTCAGTTGGAAGGGACTTACAAGGATCATCGTGTCTTAGGTAGTCCTACTGGGACTACCTACATCTAAACTATATGACTAAAGAGTGTCATTGAAGGTAGTAATTTAAGTCTGCCCTCTTTCATTTTAAAACCATTCTCCCTTATCCTGTCCCTGTCCTATCCCTTTGGCCCTTGTCAAACGTCCAGCTTTCCAGCTTTAGGCACTCGAGCCGTTCTAAGGTCTCCCCAGAGCCTTCTCTTCTCAAGGCTGAACAAGCCCAGCTATCTGAGCCTGCCTCCTTAGCAGAGCTGCTCCAGCCCTCTGAGCATCTTTGTGGCCTCCTCTGGACTTGCTTCAACAGGTCCATGTACTTTGTATTTTGGGGGCCCAAGAGGACAGAGGACTGCAGGTGGGGTTTCATGAACTGAATAGAAGGGTAGAATCACCTCCCTCGAGCTGCTGGTCAGAATACAGCCCACCATGTGGTTTTCTTTCTTGACTGCAAGCGCATGCTGCCTGCTCCTGTTGAATTTCTCATCAGCCAACACTACCAAGTCTTTCTCCTCAGGGCTGCTCTCAGTCTGTTCTCTGCCCAGCCGGTATTTGTATTTGGGATTGCCTGGACCCAGGTGTAGGACCATGCACTTAGCTTGGTCGAACTTCATGAGGTTGGCATTGGCCCACCTTGCAAGCATGTCAGGGTCCTTCTGGATGGCATTCCTTCCCTCCAGCGTATCAACCGAACCACACAGCTTGATGTCATCAGCAAACTTGCTGAGGGTGCATCAGTCCCACTGTCCATATTATCAACAATGATTTTAAACAGCACTGGTCCCAGTACCAAGCCATGCAGAATGCCACTTGTCATTGTTCTCCACTTGGACATCAAGCCATTGACCATAACTCTTTTTGAGTGTGGTCATCCAGCTAATTCTTTATCCACCGAGTGCTCCATCCATTGAATCCATGTCTCTGAAGCGCAACTATGGAGTTTTCATAGAATCATAATATATAGTCTTACAAAACAGAGGTATGAACTTCATTGTTTACAGAAGATGCTTTATACAGAGTGTGTATGTTCTTGTCTTTCCTTCTTAGGTTCCCTTTTCCTTCATCATGGCACATTTGAGGTAATAAAGAACACTGACATTGACCTGGATAAAAAGATACCTGAAGATTACTGTCCTTTGGATGTTCAAATTCCAAGTGATTTAGAGGGATCAGCCTATATCAAGGTTTGCCAGAGAGACTTTAATAATGTATTTTGGTTTTGTTTTGGTATTTGTGTGCTTGCAACAAAGGGCAAACATCAAATAATGTTCATTTTTCACCCAGGTTTCTATTCAGAAACAAGCTCCAGACATTGGTGACCTTGGGACAGTCAACCTCTTTAAAAGACCCATGCTAAAACCAAAACCAGGTATAACTAGCTGTATGTTTGTTTTCAAGAAATGGGATTGTGTATGGTGTTTATTTGAAAATCTTAGCATATAGCTGAAACAAAATTACTAGGATTGTATTTTAAGTATTTTGGAGCACCTTTTGTTAGGCATTGGAAGTTAGAGCACAAAACCAAAAGCAAACCGAGGTATTGTGTTTCAGCCAGTTACATCCCATTAGTTCAACAGAACTGAATGTCTGATTGTTCACTTTTAACTTTGGCCAAAATGTAGAATTTGTTTCTGTGCCTCATTTGTTTTATCTGAATCTGAAACTCTGCTGGCATTATGTGCACTTGTTACCAGTAGCTCACTTGGTAGGTGAGCATTGAGCCATTTGCTGTGTACCCTTATTGAAAGCTGTATATTTATGGGGTTAAAATTTCATCCTTTACTTTTCAGGATTAAAAGAACTGACAGAGGTTTATTTCACAATGGTCTGTGACACAGATACTTGTGCTTTCTTGACCATAAGACAGGATGCTATACTGTATACATGTTTCATATGGTATTGAGGGTACAGCACAGAGCTTATGTGCTTAACCAGACCAGAATCTTCCAAGAATTTGGGCCCTATAACTCCTACGAAGGCGTGTACATGCCCTTACCATTATTTGGTGGTTCACTGTAGAGTGAGTTTAATAAAGCTAGAGGTATCATTGAAAGTAAATTGCAACATAAACAGAGCTCACAAAAGGTCTGGAAATGTAATGGGCAGTTCCAGTTGGGAGCTGCAATTCACAGTATACATATGTGTAAGGTAGCACTAATGCATTTTGCTGCTCCATTTGGACAGAAGCTACTGACTACCTTACCTTAGCAATTACTCATAGCTACTGAAGTGTCTGGTATCTGAACAAAAAGGTAGCTTTTTCTTACGCTTTTCTTCTGCAAATACTGGTTTATATTTCTCAGGCTCTCCCCACTGGCAGACGAAGTTGGAGGCTGCACAGAATGTTCTTTTATGTAAAGAAATCTTTGCCCAGCTCTCACGAGAAGCTGTTCAAATTAAATCCCAGATTCCTCACATTGTTGTGAAAAATCAGATCATCTCCCAGCCTTTCCCAGGTA